ACAGTACAGTTTTTCAGAACTCAGTCACATAGTCTAAAAATGAAGATACAATTTTAAGTATTGCAGCATGTAAAAAACTGTTAATCAGGTATATCAAATTATATAAAAGATGATCGTCAATATATGTAAATACAATAGTCCCACAAACTTAACAATCACTTTTCTAATTTCTAAAATCTGCTGTTCAAACAGAACATTACTTTTGAAATAATGCAGAATTTATTAATAGGTAAACTGTTACAAGTTAATTACTATATTATAGTAATTACAGCACATTTCCTGTTTTGTTCAAAGATTTGTTATGGTATTCTAATTTTGCGACACTGTTTCTAGGAACCTGTATCATGTACTCAGTGACAGGTCTGTTCTTTTCATGCAAATGTCAATCTACTTCATTTCTTCTCTCAGTAACAATTTGGGTGAAGTCAGGTAACTTCTGTTGATTACCATGCACTTTTAAATATTAACGTGCAAGCTGGTAATATTCTGTAACACAGTTCAGTTTTGTCTGAATTTAAATTTTTAATGGCTTATATATGTGATCCACTTCTTCATTTTCACTATGCAATTCCTGAAAATGTTGGATTTCACTTCCTTCAACTTGTGAACTATATGTCCATTGATATAAAATTTTCTCTTAAAATTTAGCTAGTTAATGGAAAAAGCACCATAAATAGAAACACTTTTTTAGCTTTACAGCTTGAAATCATTCTAAAAAAGCAATTATAACAGGCCTTGATTTTTGAACTTCCTCAAGACATTTATTTTTTATTAGTTCATTAATTATAATTCCTTGTTTTTGAAGTAAATTGCACAATGCTATTGGGAAAATTCCTACTGTAAGTAATAGTTTTTCTCTGGCTGAAATTACCAAGAACATTTTCAGGCTTAAGTCTTTTCGCTTGGCATTTCGATATGTTACAAAGTTGAGCACACAAGAAATTTTTTTTAAAATGCTTCTTCCGATGATTTATCCAAATTTCAGAATTTACGTTTCTAGATAGCAGAAAGATTGCAAGGTTCTAACATTAATTAGCCAGTTAGTATGATTTCGATCTCTACCATAACTTCTTCTTTCCGCTTTCCTCATCAGTATGCAAATTAGCTTTCAGAATATATAAACTGAGGGTTCTCAATCTTAAGACAGAGAGTATCTGGCACTCGCACCACACTGTTAAGAATTTTGCCAGCTCTATCTAAAAGTGATTATTCTGGCTTTTGCATTTCCTCACAGGTGATACTTTAAACTTATGTTGCAGGTAAAATTAACTCACCCAGCTTTTGCTTATTTGACTTGGACTACTTTATCAACACTTAAATTTATTACTATCATTGCTTAATTTAACTTAGCCATGAAGTAGTGGTTTTTGTTTGTAGCACAAGTCGTGCTTTTTATGTTAAAAATTCAAATTAAATAAAAAAAGTTATTTAAAACTTCTCAAAATATTTTAGATGCAGTGATAACTTGCTAGCATTTTCTAGTCAGATTTGCAGGACTTAAACTTTAGCTTCCAGATCAATAGTGACCTTTAAAAAATTACCCCTTAGTTGATCTGTATTTTCAAGATTACAAGCACGACCAATGCTTTCCTTTCTTTATCTTCAGTCTACAGTTACCGTTTGCTAGCTATTCACAGATTCCTAATATGTATGGTACTGCCCAGAATCACTTCATGAACTTTGTTTATAACTTCAAGTGAACATAATGTGTCTATTCCAAAAGGAAGATTTTGAATATGCAAACCTTAAAAGATGGGATTCAGAAGTTGTATTTCTACCTCCTATTATAGCTGGTGTTTGAGAAAGAACCCTCACTTATTTACAGTGCTCTCTACAGGATTATTTTTGTTAAGCTTAAGATAAAGAAATTCTGTTCCTCTGAAGTTCACTTCAGACAAAGAACTCTGAAAGCACTCTCTTACAGGAGGCAAGCAAAATTTCATTCAAACCCATTTTATTGAAGCACTACATATCTGAATAATAAAGCCGTGGTCCACAGTATGTTAAATGAACAAATTACAAAAAACAAGTACAAGTGCAATATTCTGGCATTGATGAATCAGTCTTTTTTCAATCTGAATTTAATAAGAGAAGTGTTTAATAAATGGCAGTTTTCCTGTTCATTAGAGTAGGTATTTGTTTTAGTTCCTGGAAATTTGAACATAATAAGCAGCTGAGTTTATTAATCAGTGAGTTTAATAAGTGACAGGTACTGTACAGTCAAACTACTATTTAACAAAGTTTTCTGTGGAATTCTGCCCAGGTATGAATTTCCTTGTACATAAAACTCCAAATAGCAGAGTACAACCTCTATTTAACAAATATTTTGAATGAATGGATTTTTCTTCCTACTTAAAATTATTAATCTATTTGCTGTGACATATATATGTATAAAGCTATCCTAAAGAAAGCAGATGGCTTATTATTTGGTTTCACATTCCATTCTACATGAGGAATGAAGATCCTCAAATGAGTTGGTGTATTTAATTTGGTGTATTTAATTATGGCAAAGCACACGAGGGCTATCTGCCTAAAGGGAGGGATGCCTTTCGTGGAGGACTTTCTAAGGGAAACTGGCTCGTATACACGTTACACGTGAGGAAAACCACGAAAACGCCCATGCAGCCAGCCCGTTCGCGGGATTCGAACCTCAGACCGAACTACCAGTGTTCAGCGCCTTTACCGCTCGGCCGCTGGTGGGCCGATCCTCAAATGAGAAAGCATTTACCTATTGCATTGTTCAAAATTGTCAAACCAATCTTATTTAGCAAAACAGTTTAAAATTAAGCAACAGCTTCAATTTTTTTTTTTTTCCAGTGTTTTATACTGCAGATCCTTTTTAATGTTAGTTGTGTACTGAATGATAAAAATGTCGAAATGAACATGTCTAACACTTAAAAAATAGTAATTCTCGATGAAATGGACAAAAGTATAAAATATATATATATATAATTAAATAATATACTAATTTATGTTAAAAATAAAAATCTGAAAGTTTTCAGATTTTAAATTATGCCCAAAGGGGCATTTTTTTAACATTTTGTCTATTACTTTTATTTATTAAATATCACGTTCTTCACACTTAAACCATAAAATTCAGTTCAAGAGCAATATTGTAAAATAGTTTAAATTGAGCCTATCTTTAGGATTTCCGATACAGAGTCTTGCACACTGGAGATAAGAATGTTTTTCTGTACAACGTAGCCATTGCTCGCTTTGAAATCCTTGAGTTTGTTAATGAAAAATTTGTTGAAGATTTACAAAATATGAAATTGATAATAAAACAAATTCCAAATTTGGGCTTCCATATGCCCATATTCGCAGTAGGATTAAGTCATTCAAAATTCGATGGCTGTATGTACCGTTGTTTTATCACAATGCAAGAAATATACGTACATTTATGCAGATTTTTCCTTATTTAATTTCTTCAAATAAAATGCAGGACTCTAACACTTGATGGCAACAGTTTAAAAAGTGAAACGGACATTTATAGTGAACACCAATGCAAAATCGCAAAACAAAAACAATAGTCCTTCAGGGATAAAGCCCCTTTGAACAAAACAAAAAAACTGCCATAAAATCCAGTATTTTGCAAAATAGGTTATTGATAATTCTTAAAAATCGGGACAAAATTTTGTCAAGCTTTGATTCCACCGATCCAAGTAGTAAATGCAACAAAATGTGTGTTTATAAATACGCTAATAAAGCAAAGTTAAAATGGCTGCATTAAATGGTTAAAATGACAGAAAGAAAGAGAAATGTACTGGTATCAGGGCCACTGATAGTGGAAAAAGCTTAAGGTTTTTTGATCCCTGCAACTCACTGCAAAAGAAAATCAACAGGCTAATATAGGGCTGCAACTGAAAAATCAAGGACAAATAAATAATGATGAACAATTATATAATCATTTATTCATAGGTAATGATGTTGAGACTTCAGGAATTTCTAGTAAAGAGGACATACAGGACAGAAAAAATAGCAGCCTGAAAGCAACTAATGATGATGAACATGATCAAAATGTTAATGAAAATGAATGTATAAAGGATATGTTAAATGTGTTTGATAATTTACAATGCAGTTTTCAGTTTGAAGACAGTGTATCAGAAGATGTTTTCTGTACATTACAAAACATGAAGTGAAATGCTACTCCTGACAATTAAAACACACTAAATTAATTGATTATTTTTCGAAATAAATTTATCATAAATCCCATTTTGCAAAATTTTGAAAACGGGTTCTTTGGAGTGATGAATCAAGGTTCACCCTTTACCGTTCGAATGGCAGGGTCAGGGTCTGGGTCTGGCGTCTACCTGGAGAACGTCTCCTGCCAGAATGCATTGTGCCAACAGTCAAGTTCGGCGGAGGTGGAATTATGGTCTGGGGGTGTTTCTCCTGGTATGGGCTGGGACCCTTGGTCCCCATTCATGGTAAGCTCAACTCCGATGCCTACTGCAGTATTCTGGATGACAATGTGCTTCCTACATTGTGGCAGTTTTACGGGTTGGACCCCTGTTACTTTCAGGACGACAATGCCAGTTGTCATGTTTCGACGTTAACCAAGACTTGGTATGGTGCCAATGGAGTTCATCGAATGGACTGGCCTGCCCAGTGTCCAGACTTGAATCCTATCGAGAACCTCTGGGACGAGTTGCATCGCCGAATTCGGGGGTGCACTACCCGTGCAAAATCGGTGAAGGAACTTCTATGTCTTCTCCAAGCCGAGTGGAAGAAAATACCACTAGCTGTCATACAAAGACTTGTGGAAAGTATGCCCCGGAGCGTCCATGCTGTAATTACCTCTCATGGAGGCTCTACCAACTATTGATTTTAAATAAAGTTAGTTTTTCTTTTCTATCACAGGTGTCCAAATACTTATTGGTAGTCAGTGTATATATGTGTGGTGTAAGTACTTTGAGGTATATTTTTATAGACTGCTATTATTTTCAATAATTATTTATTAACATGATTATTTGTTTCTGAAAATACATATGTATACTATGAAACAGTGTATTTACATTTATTAATTTACAACTTTATACAAAAAATGATAATGAATATATAACAACTCTAACATTTTACAAAAGTTTTTGGACAGAAATATTATATTAAAGGCCAAAACAAATCAATCTAGAGTTCAATATGTAAAATAATACACAAAATTAAAAGAGAGACATTTAACTGCATTTACGAAAAATTAATGCAGTACTTTCAAATTTTTTTCACAGGAGGTTTTAGCCACTTGATTTTTCTCAGATATCTAACAATAAATGGTACACAAGATAAAGTTATACCAATTCGGACAGGTGCAAATACCTTATGAACACCATATGCTATAACAAAAGTACTTCCTTCGACAGCAACTTTGCTTGATATTACAGATTCTGAAAATCCAAGAAAAGTGAAAATTTTGACAGGATCAACACCACTGAAAGATAAAAATAAAATTAATTACAATTACTTATTATTAGCATAATCTTCTAAACAATGAATGTGTGTATGTATGAGAATAATACAGATACGTACATGCATGCATATTTTATGTTCTTTGGAGATGATATATATATAAAAAAACTTTTCTAATAATGAATTATACATATACACACACATACATTCATGCACCCAAATATATCTATCTACCTAACAATATAGATAGAGACGGATAGATAAATTGCATATGTATGAAATTTAAACAAAAGTTATACAGAAAATTGCTACTGATAAAATTAGTTTGAATTATGATAAAAGAAATATCTCATTCATTATACTCAAAACTTATATATGTATATGTGAAAGTAAAAATTCATTGTTTTTATTTAGATGCTCAAACTATTATCCTCTCAACTGTTAAACTGTCACCAACCAGCATGATTTAGCATTGATTAAAGATAAATGTGCTGTCACAACACACTTATAGTATTTGCACTTTCATTTGATGCAAACCTCGATTGATTTTCCATATGCCACCTTTTTTTTTTTATGAACAATATATATTAACTGTTATTGCTGTATTTCCCCTTGCATTTTTTTTTTGGGGGGGAAGAGCTCGACTGCTATAGAATCCTGTGACCAAACTCCAATTCATTTACAGCTGGTTGAAAGAATTAACAGCCATTTGAAAAGGGGGAAAAAAAGCTGGATGTTGTGGGGAAAAAAAACCACAGTTAAAACACCACCTGCAGTAAGCTTGTACTCATAGCACTATAAACAAAGCTTTTGGTAAAAATTGGATGAAAGGCTTTTCTAGGAAGTACAAAAAGAAAGCAGGTCGAATATTTCCACAACAGTGGCTTAGATTGTGTAGAAAGACTAAAGTTTTAGAGTAAAGTTGCAGAGAGAAGTGCAGCACAGAATCCTGCATGAACGACCGGCACGAGTTTGGTAAGATCTTCCGCAACTTTCGTAGTTGATCATGAAGCAGTTTTTGGTTGATCCTAGTCATCAGGAGGCAATTTCAACATGCAAACACAACTTAACTTAGTCAAGGGCTTGTAAAAAAAGATGGTTTGGCTCTTTTAATATCATAATTCACACTGAATATTTGCCTACTGCACCAGCCATTAAGAGAAAGGAAGAGCAATGTCTTATGTCTCCTGTCATTTGCTCGTTGGCACAACCTGTTATATTCCTTGGTGTAATAATACTTAAGTTGGCATTAGTATGTTCCTTTAGTATTTATTATTCATCAGAATGGTAATTAAATTAAAATTTTCTACTTATATACTCCTTTTGCACTGTAGTACCCATAAAACTGAGTAGTAAACAAAAAAATCAAAGACCTTTTTCTTTTCAGGAAGAATGAGAACTTGATTACTTTTCTACAATGATGAACGATAAATACTGTTGCTTAATATACAATGCCCCCATAGCCTTTACTAAAAATGATAATTTGGAGAGGCATTTATTAACTTTACGTAACAACTACCAGATTACCCATAAATTAGTGCCTTGAGAAATAGTAAAAAAAGAGATCTTAAGCCTTAATTAAGACCTCAACAAAATGCTTTTAAATCTCATATTGAATTAAGTGCAGTGACTGCAGCATCATGCAAAGTAAGGCATATGTTATCAAAAAGAATTTAAATCATTTTCTGATAGGGAGTTTAGGAAAAAAAAACCTTGAAAATGTCAGTTTTTTAGTGATTTTAAGAAAAAAAAATTAAATTATTGTAGCAAATACAGATCCATATTTTTCTTTAAATACTACAATGGATTGAGAAAATTAGTGAAAATATAAGAGAACAGGTATATAATGACATTAATTTATATTCTACCTTTCCCCTTCAGTTTGAGAAACCAACAAATATCAGTGAGGCAACACAATTGCTTTTTTTTTTTTTTTTTTTTTTTGTATGATTTTTAAGGATTATATCAAGCAAAATTATGATGAATTCACAAGTTCTTTTTAGATATCACTGCTCAGTTCGAGGAAGTTCTCTCAGAGTTTCCTGAGAGAACTTCCTCGAACCATTTACAGCTTGATGAAGGACAGCCAGAATTACTAACACATACCGAAGTAAGGTGGCTTAATAGCAGGCAATTTCTGCAATGATTTTATGACTTACTAACCTAGATAAAACTTTTCCATGAAAAGGAAGATCAAGAATGTACAAATTTAAATCATGAAACTCAATGACTTAGCATTTCTGATAAATGTAAAATACATTGCTGCAAATACTTCTGAGACTGAAGGGAATTAGGGATAAAAAATGAAATCATAACTCTCTGATCTAACCATACAAGCAGACAACTTGAGGAAGATTTCTGGAAATATGTCAGTTGAGAAAAGCATCCAGACATCATCAAATATAGTGAATATATCCATTCTTGTTTTGAATCTACACAGTTACATGAATCAGCTTTTCCATATTTAAATTTAACTAAGACTAAACATCATTTCCTACTCCCACAATGAAGGCTCATTATCATTATCTTTGTCTGGATACATAGTACCAAATTATAAAGGTACGATGACACATTAATGATAAAGTAAAATACAATATGTATTTCCCCTAAGACTATTTTTCAGTTAATAAAATATCATGTTGGGTTGATCTTTATATTATGGTAACTTAACGTTTTTTTGGCAACCAACTCTCCTACAGCAACCCTCTATTTTTTTTTTTCCCGCCGCCATTTTGTCTTCACGAAGTAAAGACATGTTTCTTTTCTTTTTATCTACTGAACACTTCTTCCAACAATCTACTAGCCGAATTACACTTATGCTAGAAATTTTATCTAAACTGCTTAATCATGACAAATAAGCCCCGTTCACAAGAGCAGATTCGAGCGGTGGTGAAAACCGGTTCTTCCAACTTGTCCCATTCACATGGCGAAAAAGCATTAACTGCTTCTCCGAAGGAAGGTAGAATACTCCTACCTCTATGGAGCAAGGCAAATGGGGATATTTCCCATGCTGCATTGCGCGAATCCGCGGTTAATTTGTAAACAACATGGCTGACGTTCAGTTGACTGCTCGGTGGACTGTCAGCGAAACAATCGCTTTAATTGAAATCTGGGGGTGCGATAGCATCCAGAAAAAAATGGATGGAACAGTACGCGATACTGAAATTTATAGACAAATACAGAAAGAATTATCTGATGCTGGCTATTCCAGAAATACGGTTCAGATTAAAACAAAAGTAAAAGCGCTGAGACGAGAATATCGACTGCAGCGAGATAAATTAAGACTGTCTGGAGCTGGTGGAAAAATTACTTTTCGATTTTATCATGAAATGGATAAAGTTCTAGGTTCCAGAGATGCCTCGAATCCCGGCCTGATAACGGAAACTGAGATTCTTGGATTGGAAGAGTCAGGTAAGAAAACTCATTTTATTAATACAGTTTGTTTTTAAAAATGTGCTAGAAATCGTTATATTGCTTTTAAATATATGTTTTAGAAAAGTGCTCGGACTCACCCCTTCTCCAAAAACAAAGGCAAAAATTTAAATTTACCAAACTTGAAATATCAACATGATTTTCAAACAGATGTTTGCCTACTTTTTCCTTATACTGCACATTTTTCTGAGATAAGAAGTACCGAGTTTAAGCATAAATATTGTCTCTTTTGAATGTAAGAATCATGGTATAAAATTCTTGGAACATTTATTCCATCACAAAAAACAAAATCCATTTCATTTGTTTGACTTTTTAAAAATATATTTAATCATCTTGGTCATGGTATTTTGTAGTGCTAATTAATTTGTCTTCATTTTTTGATTATTTTTAGCCTATTTTTTTTCTTCATGGATTTTGCATTTCCAATTTCATTTGTTGATTTAAAGATATATTTGGCTTGCAAATTTTATATTTCATTTCTTGCTACATACTTTCAGTGATTTCAATGTTTTCAATATTTAAAGAAAATTAAACATGCTGTAACATATTCCATACTAGCCTTTAAAAAATGTTTAATTATTTTGCACACTAAATTTTTCTGCCAGTGATAATCAAATTCAATTTGAAAGCTCAATTATTTTCTCATCATAATTTTTCTTTAGTAGCTCAGTACATTTCAGCCACATGGTGAATTTGATTGCTTCTTTCCATGATATCATTCAAATCCATAATTTTAATTTCTTTGGCAAAGTGAAATAGTTTCTAAAAAATTGCTCAAATTTCACTTCTGGAAGGGTTTTTTTATAAGCAAATTTATCATTGAGAAATTCGCATACTAACTTAACTAATGCTGAAAACATTATCACTTATTTTATATCAGATGGTAGGCTTATAGGCTTAGGTCTTGCTAAACTATATCCTGTAAGGACTTCAGGATTTGAATATATTTTATGACCATTAACCTTAATTTGAAATAACTTTTATCATTCCCTGTCACTGAAATGTATATTTCTAAGCTGTAACTATATCCCCATTATAAAAAGTATTGTCTGGACTGCTTTGTTATGTAAAATGAGATTGTAATTAACAATCCCTGTTAAGTGGAGTATGGCTATATGTTTTGAAATAGTGGCCGATCACTTTTGTGAAATATATGATTATTTATTTCTGATATTTATAAACTGAATTAGAGATGAAATTTAGTAAAGAAGAATGCCATATAATCAGATCAGACCTTCAGTGGTAATGATACAAAATATTCCTCATTCAAAATGAATATCAAATATTTTTCATTTAATAGCAAAAATTAGCTATTTTGTAGAAATTCCTATACAGTGTTTTATAAAACACCTTTTTTAAAGGAATTATATATAATGTATATGACTCTGCTGTAATGAATTTAATGCTTTCAGATTTCAATTGCAATGTATTATATAAGATGAAGAGAAGTTTAATTTTATTCATGGTTCTTCTTTCCCTTTTATAGTTCCATCTGAAATGTTGAATACTTCCGAAGAAAGTTTTGTGGTAGCTTTTGATGCACATGAAAAGTAAGTTAAATGCATAAATATCTTAAATTCTGTAATATTATATAAAACAGTTTTTGATCACAGTCAACAGACATAATTAGTTTAATGAAAAGCTCTTTTACAAACTTATTAATTATATTGCATAAAACATATTATTGTTTAATATTAAGATCAATTTAATCAATACATATGCTTCTGTTATTATTAGTGTAAGCAATTACAAAATTTAAAACATAATTTGGCTGAAATTCAGCTGTACCTCTACAGTATAAAAATAATTTATAAAGGTACTTTTCCGTTTCGCCGGCGCAAATCTCGCCAAGCAGACTTTATTGGCTACAACATACAGTATACACATAAAAAATATTTAAAAAATTTTAGAATGAATTATTTTCACACTTTAAGGAAAATTGATGAATTTAACCCTTAATTTTGCCTTTTCTATATTTTCGCCCTCGGTTGAGCGGTGTGATTGTATCCTAATTCATTTAATTACCGCGTATGGTCTTAGGGCATAAAATTTAACTATCTTGTAAAATTCTGTGTAATTGTATGCCAGTATTGAACGAAACAATCAATTTGATAAGAAAAGGCTGCGACATGTTTTGAAAATGAAGCCTAAAAGGTTACCAGCGAAGATATTTCGTTTGGCATCAGTTGTACCCTTATTGGCGACTTTATCGTTTGCGCCGGCAAAACGGAAAAGTACCTTCTTTTTATATTCCTGATCTGTAATCATGCTATATTAAATTATTATCAGAAGACATAAACAACATATTGTTCATAATGTTTCTCTCAAAATATGCATGTTATTTTTAAGTGATATTTCAAAATATGTATGCAGAATTTTAAACCATTTTATATTTTAAATTTCAGTATGGATCATCAAGGAACTGAAATGTATGAACAGTCACAAGAGTGTTCGCCAATTCCTCCAACTCCTAGTTCACATTTTTGTAAGTTATATTTCATTATTTACAAAAATAGCTAAAGCACTAAAGAACCAGTGCAGACATCACTACCCCTGTTGAGTGAAGGTTCTCTTCAAATGTTTATAGCAAAATTTAATTAATTGCATTTCAATTACTCATTATTATGTTTGTTTATGGTGATGAGGCAGGTAATATTAAAAAGTATGATGCTGCACAATATTTAATTCTTCATGAATTATATTATTTCTTAGATATCATGGCATGCTTGCAATCTTTTTAAGAACATATAGTTTACAAGGCCTTTCAATTAGTTCTAGACAAATATGCTAAGACAGGGTAGATATATTATAACATGTGACATAGAATAGATTATAAATGAGTAATTTTGGCCCACCAGCGGCCGAGCGGTAAAGTCGCTGAACACTGGTAGTTCGGTCTGAGGTTCGAATCCCGCGAACGGGCTGGCTGCATGGGCGTTTTCGTGGTTTTCCCCATGTGTAACGTGTATACGAGCCAGTTTCCCTTAGAAAGTCCTCCACGAAGGCACCCCTCCCCTTAGGCAGATAGCCCTCGAGGCTTTGCCATAATCACACACACACACATAAATGAGTAATTTGTTATCAAGAGATACAATACAGATATTTTGAAAAATTGAAGAGTTAAGCATTACACATTCAGAGCTTAGTTATAATAGATGTAATATATAGTTGCAATATGCATACTAATAATTTATAATCGATTTGCAGTAGGTTATTTTTCTTGAAGCGATAGCACCCATTTTGAATTTAAAATTTCAGAAAAATGCCCAACCTTAAAATAACCGAGTAATGAAAAGCAGAGCAATACCATATAAAATTAGTGAATTTTGAGATAGATATTTATGGAATCTCTTGAATTGCATAACTTTTTCTATGCAACTAGTATCGAATTTCCAGTTGAATTTTGTTAAAATTGAATTTGGTTTGTAGAATGTTTGAATATTGTAATTTTTATGGCAATGTGTATTATAAACAGTTTACTGTCTTGTTTCCACATTTGGTGAAATAAAATGTATGAAAAAAATATAAAAGGAAAATTTAAGTGTTTTACATAACATTTTCATATATTCATAAAATCAATGACTGATGAAGCCAGTCGTTGGTTTTATGAATATATGAATTCCTCTAATTTGTTTAGAAGCAGTTAAATAGTAGTAGACGCTAAATTTTAAATTAAATACCTAATGCTTTGCGAATGGCAATGCACTGGTATGCAGAAGATAAAAATATTTTATATCTGGTTAGTACCAATACATTTATTTTAAATCACCAAGTTTACATTTGAGACCACCAAGATTACATTTGAGAAATAACTATCTTATTCAGCCAACCTGTAGCCCAGAGATTTTGAATTGCTCACTTTGTTAATCAAAAATTCCTTAAATTCACACAAAGCATGAAATAAATAAAAGGCATATCCAAAATCTGGGCTTTGAGGTACACGTGTTCTAGTCTAGTGGCACCACAATTTTTTTCTCAAATGCTAGAAAACAATTTCATTATTTATTAAAAGATATTATTACTTTTCTTTATATTTTATTATTTTTTCCTATTCATTCAGGTAATGCACTTTAGGGGAAAAAGGAATAAATTTCTGAATAATCTTTGCTTTGTATATTAGTATTTTTCAATGAAATGTATTTAAATATTTAATAATTTTTATATCTTTCTGTTACTTGACAGCTTCATTGAATGGGCAACGTTCTTCCCGGCGACGGAAGAAAAATCTGAAGGATGTGATAGAAAAAACCATTGAAACAACTGTAGATAAATTTCTGCAATTTGAAAGGGAAATGGAAGAGAAGATTTCTGAAGAAAATAGAGTCTTCAGAGAAAAATTGTTAGATATATTAGAAAAAATAGCGAATAAATAAATAATTTTTAACTTTGAATTATTATTTCTTGCTAAAATTCAGTTACTGTTCTATAAAGTTTGAAATCTTAAATTTTGACCATTGAACTTCAAGTTTTTATTTTATGAATCACTTTATGCAAATATATGTGCATATTTTAGATTTTTTTACAGAGTTATTTAAGTATTATGGTACGTGTTACGTACAATAAATGTAGTAGTCATAAATTAAATATTTTTATAAATAACAAAGTAAGGTGTTATGCCACAATTTATGTATGTTGTATAGGTGATAATTTTTTAATTCGAACATATATTTGCTGAACACAGTTTTCGTTTAATAGACGCCTAAACACTTTTGTAAAAATTTAAAACTTCTAATGCAAATTATACCAGGAATTCATTTAATTTATTAACCAAAATCAATAATTTGGTATATAAGAAAAATATGTACATTTAAAATTACAAGTTTTCACAAATTCTGCATTAGGAAATCTCGAACATCTGCTCCAGATACAAGACTGTCTAGATTTCCAGTGAGGTTTTCTCCAGAAATCGACAGATTATCTTCTTCTAAAGATACATCTGAATTTTCGTCATCCAGTATCAGCCAGTCATCGAGGAATTCATCATCTAGTGTAATACATATGTTATGCATAAGACAGCATGCCAACACTTGTGATTTTACATTTTCAACATTACTGTCATTTTCTTTCAGAAGGCATCTCCATCTTCCCTTTAGCTGACCGAAAGCATGTTCTACATTAATGCGAGGAAGTACTCAATTTCTTATTAAAAAAGAGCTCTTTCGGCATTTAAATGACCTCCATGAGGCTTTATAAGCCAATTTAGTAATGGGTATGCCTGATCACCCACAAGAAATGGCTTTATATTGCCATTATGGTTTCTTAGCCTTATATTTGTAGGTGAAAAGAGTTTATTGCTTTGACCTGCTCTAAATTAATTGGAATTTCTCAATACTCGAGCATCATGGACCGAACCAGGCCATCCAACATTCAAATTTATAAAACGCAGTCTATCATCGACAACTGCTTGCAAAATTATGCTGAAGAACTGCTTTCGGCAAAAATAATCTTTCCCACACTTGTTTGGAGCTTTAATCGGGATGTAAGATCCATCTACAGCTCCACAGCAACCAGGTAATCCACCATTATCATAAAATCCCTGGGCTATCATTTGTAGGTCATCATTTTGTGGGAAAGTAATTTTGAATTCTTTGCTCAGTGCACTGCAGACTTCAGCAACAATCGTGCAAGCAGTAGAGCGAGCCACTCCAAATAAATTTGAAATGGTTCTTAGCTCTCCACAGGAACCTAACTTCGAAAGAGCTATTGCCACTCTTCTTTCTACAGATATAGGTTTTCTCACTACATGCTTTTGACTAGTTGAGATCGCAACTTGCTGCAGATGTAGTTGAAAGTAGTCCTATAAGATAAGAAATGAAACAAAACAGTTACTTTTATAAAAAATTCCTAAAACATATGAATAAAATAATGCATACATTTTCACTTAAAAATTTGATTAGGGGATAACAGTTTAATGTACATCTGACTTTTTTGATTGCAAATTATGGCTGTTTTATTTTGGTTTTGCAAATTAAAACCAGAACTGTCTTGCTATTTTTGAACTCTTTCATGTCTATTAGTTGAGGGTGAAAAGCATTCTTAGCATCTCATTAAAAAGTATATGAAAGTCTCTATTTCATATATTGATGAACCCAGTGCAATAGCAATTTGTTAAATCTAATGTTTTAGACAGAAAGATACATCTTTTTTAATTTAGGAACTCGAAAAATTTAATGAAGAAAAATCAAGGGTTAAATTTCATCAGTTCTAATTAGAATGCACTAGCGAAGTAAAGCACTACGGTTTTACATAATTTCTGAGTAAGCTATTCGTACGAATTGAAATAATTCTTGCATTTAAACTTTTATTCCAAATTAAGATTTAACTTGAAATTAATGTAGATAATTACTGAGAGAATTAGATTTTTGTAGCGTAGTTTACGTGAGATGAAATCACTTGGGGTGATACGAACCGGCGAATCAGGATGTTGAACCATGATAGCATAGTAAATTCTTAAATTAATGTCTTTTATTGTCTTTATTTAATATCTTAATTAATGTCTTTGTTGTTTTTATTTATTGGCTTTTTACAAAATTATAAACCATATTAGAATGTTTATGCCTTCAAAATAAAAAATTCTTAGAACTAATATTTGTTAACATTTTCTATGTGTATTCTCTATGTTGTCGCCAACAAAGTCTGCTTGGCGAGATTTGCGCCGGCGAACGGAAAAGTACCGTCTAATTCTTTCTCTAATTTGATATAGTTGTATCCTAAACTAATATGGATATAACTAGTTATCATTAACTGTTCTGGTATAAAGTTATGATATTCAGCTGATTCTCGCTTTCGCATTGAAAAAGACTGAACTGGCTGACTTGATAAAATGCACTTCCTTTTTAAATTATTATTGAAACAATTTCAAATAAATAAGAAATTAGTTGCCAAAAATTTTGCACTAACTTAATATGTATCATACGTAATGATTTTAACTTAATTTGAAATTCTTGTTGAACATTCGCAATATCAAAATAATTTATGTTTGCTGGAGGACAATAACTGTAGTAAGAAATAAATCAAATATAACTGATTAACTATGAAAAGTTTCTTATGTTCAAAGGAGAAACAAAATGATACAGCTATAAAAAATTATTTACTTTTGTTAAATATTATAAATTTCAGGAACAGAAATGTTTCTGAAATTAAAAATAATAATAATAATAATAAAATTGAAAAAGTTTAGAAATTATCTTAAAAAAACATTCATGAATATATAAATCTCTTACTTAACTCTGTTTATTAATGGCAACTATTTTTTTTTTTTTTTTTTTCATTTTGCATCCCAGTGTACAGATTTCATGTATAGACATTACAATTACAATGAAATAATATACATTTGTGCAGTTTGTGTGCCTGATCTCAATGCACAGTTTCAACAAATAAGTATTCTCATATCCAAATAAGAATAGTCTCAAAGATCTCCTACCCCTCTTCCCTTATCCTTAATCCTCTTCAATGAATTTTCAGCGTGGCAATATTTTAAAGTATCCTACATGCATACTACACAGTTAACAGCACCCATACCAACCCGAGCCCAATGATATAACAGCCAGCATCCCTAAACACTTCTGTAATTATAATAGATCATTATTTAAAAAGAATGGCAGCCACTACATATGAATTAGGTTGCAATGAAGAAAACTTGGTTAATAGGAATTATTGAAATAATAATATGAAAAGTTAGTATATTTGATGAAGATGAGTGATCAATGAAACATTTTCAGAACTAAAATGAAGCAATTGCAGAAAATGTTCTTCACTGTTGAAGAGTTGAAAATGCAAATGATGTATTTGGATCAAAATTTCAAATGTATTCAAAGCCCAGATCTTATTGACAATGACTTGCAAAAGCATGAAGAGAAAATTAGCAAAAGAATGTTCAAATAATTCTACATAACTTTTGGTTAAATAAAGTAAAAAATTAATTCTTCTAATACATGAGAAAATATATAATTTTGAGCTTTTCATTTAACTTTCTTTAATTAAAGAAAATATATGAAGATTTGGTGATACATAACTAGCGGAATAACGGTACTTTTTTTATTTGATTAACATTAACATTAAGCATTTTCCAGGAATCAAAGAACATTGTTAAGTGAGAGATTTCTGTACATAAAAGCAATATATATTAAAAAACTTTGAAATAACTTACCGAGTAATACGAAAATTTTCCTTGAAGTCCTTATCATCCCATGATGAGAGAACTACATTTTCCCAGAACACCGAAGATCGCACTTTGGACCATAAACGTCGCTCTGGGTATGCCAATTCTAGTGACGTTAACGTTGCATTTATGAAGGAACACATAATTTTCCTTCGTCGAAGCCGCCGTCTTTTGGGTAGCGATCTGCCCTCTAAACAGCGCATATTCAGCTGTAGGTGCAAAAATAATTGCAGAAAAAGCGAAAGTCTTTCTTGAGCCATGCCGAAAACTCCGAAAACGTTCTACAGCGATAATTAACAATGTCGAAAAAGATGTAAACAAACACTACAAAATCCGCCAATCAGATTCAAGTTTGTGACATCACTGCTCGCAGTGGCTTATGGGTTAAGGGATGGAAGACGATGTGCGTCTGAACGGGTCCTGAAGGCGAAACTGCTTGGTAACCCCACTTCTCCCTGATATGAACGATGGCTGCGCGAAAGAGCGTTGCATGTGAACGGGGCTTTAGATTGTTATTACAAAACTGAAGTTCATACATAAGTTGATTGAATTTAATTTAATTCATTCAGTTCCCATTTGCTCATAGGTCCTTAATCTGTTTCATTAATTGTTCTTAAAAGTACGTATTTTCCGTATGCAGAAATGTATACGAGACCTGAATTAAGACTTTCCGGTTGAGGGTCGATGAGAAAAAGATTTTGTATTACACCCAAAGGGGCGTTTTTTTTTAGAGTTATGTGTGTCATGTTCTTCGCACTTAAACCGTAAAATTTGATTCAACGGCAATGTCACAAAATAATTTAAAAAGAGCATATCTTTGGAATTTCCGATACACAATCTCGCGCTGTAACTTTTTTTTTTCTTACAGTGTTGCCATTGCTCGCTTTGAAATCGTTGAGTTTGTTAATCAAGAATTCGTTAAATTTTATAAAATATGAAATAGACAATAAAAAAAAATGTTCACTTTCAAATTGGGGCTTTTAGGTGCCCATATTCAGGTAGAGGACTACGGTATTCAAAATTCGATGTCTCTAGGTACCGTTGTTTTTTCACAATGCGGGAAGCATTAATCTCGTATAAATGTATAAAATAAAATATACACTAATGTTGCCAAAGCGGTAATGAAGAATCTTCTTCATTATTTAATTTCTTAAAATATAAGGCAGGGCTCTAACATTTGGTGGCACAAATCTGAAAAGTGAAACGCCGTTTTGCAGTGGACGACGCAAATTCTCAAAACGAAATTAACAGCCCTTTTGGGCAAATTACCCCTTTGGCATACATTAGTGTATATATTATTTTATACATTTATACACTAATGTATGAAAAAAGACGTACATTAGTGTATAAATAATTCTTACAACTCACAGCTTCGGATTTTAACATTGGAGAAAAATTACTAGAACCTTCACGCCGTGTACACGCCGACTTATTTTTACTTAAAAAAAATCCCAGAATTGCACAAAAATGGCATTGCGCACACTCTTCACTATATCCATGTACACTGCTTTTTTCTCATAAATTAGAAAAATTTCACGAAAATACATGACAATTTTCTCAATCTTTAAACCCGGTAAAAAGAACATATATGAAATGACCTGATCATGAAAAAGTATTTACCCTTTCCAAATATGAACATTTCCACATATAAAATAAATAAAATATC